AAGATGGAGAACTGTAAGCCAATAAGCATACCGACAGAATACAAGATCAAGATGTCCAAACATGAAGAAGGAGAAAGTGTAGGTCCAACATTCTTCAAAAGTTTGGTGGGAAGTCTACGCTATCTAACTTGCACGAGGCCCGATATTCTTCATGTAGTTGGATTGGTTAGTCGTTACAGGGAATCTCCCCACTCATTTTAAAGTTGTAAAGAGAATTCTTTGCTATTTGAAAGGTACAATTGACTTTGGCTTGTTCTATTAAGTTTCTAATGATTACAAGCTTGTTGAATATAGCGACAGTGATTGGCGTGGAGATATAGATAATCGAAGGAGCACTACTGGATTCATATTTTTCATGGGAGATATTGCTTTCACATGGATGTCAAAGAAACAACTGATTGTCACATTGTCCACTTGTGAAGTGGAATATGTTGTTGCTACCTCGTGCGTTTGTCATGCAATTTGGCTTAGAAATTTATTGAATGAGATAGCTTTGATACAAGAAAAAGCCTACTAAGGTTTATGTCGACAACAAGTCAGCCATTGCCTTAGCAAAGAATCCATTATTCCATGATCAAAGCAAGCACATCGACATTCGCTACCACTATATAAGGGAGTGTGTTACAAGAAACGATGTGGAAGTTGAATAAGTGAAGTCACAAGATCAAGTTGCCGATATTTTTATCAAGCCACTGACAAGCAAATACTTCATAAGATTAAAGAACTTACTAGGGGTCACAAGATCAAGTTTAAGGGGGTGTTGGATCATAAACTTGATCAATTATGGGAGCCTAAACCCAAACCCAAACTAAGTTGATGTAATTTCTTACATCAATTAGCTGAAGATGTCATTGCTTACATCAATTTAGTTAGGTATGTCTTAGCTTTTAATGGTTTAAATTAGTTTATTTGTCTGGTGTAGGATTATTCTTAAGTAGTATAAATACCCCTCCCCATTTTAGTTTAAGCATGAAGAAAAATTAAGTGCTTTTAAGTAAGTCAAGAAGCAAAGTATTATAAGAGTGAGTTGTAGTATCTTGTTTTTGAGTGACAGTGCTCTTGTAATATTTGTTTGAGTTTCAATAAAAGTTGTTCGTGTGAGTATTTTATTTCCAACAAAAAATTGATTCGATATATTAAAAACATCAATCTTGATCGTATCATCCCACAACAACCACAGACCACCATTAAAACCGTGTGCTTTAACTCGAAACAAATGGTGGAACCCAAGGTTAGTGATAACTTTGTCAGCATTCTATCAGCTCACCCGAGTTTCAAAGAGGAAAATGAGGTTTTGGCAATATTCCTTTATAAACGAATTGAAATAATGCCTAAAGGTCAAACTTGTCGCACCCTGATAATTCCACAAAAAGAATTTATTCATTAAAAAACTAACACAAAGATGGAGGCACTTACTGATCACTGTCGAGGCCCTCCTCCGCCTATTCCATATCATTATCATTGAAATCAACGGTTTGTTCAACCGACATTGTAGCGACATTATTAGAGGAAAAAGAACCTCCAGCTGCAGGCTCAATATCCATCGAGTGGTTATGAAATGAGGATCCTTAGCAGGTTTCACACTTTCTCGAGAATTCATGATAAACTCTTAGCAGGTTTCACACTTTTGCGAGAATTCACCAATAAACCCTTAGTTTTTAAACTTTGACTTTAATGACCTTTAGACCAAGTACCTCCACTTCCAGTGGCATCATTTTTAACAATTTTAATAGCCCTGTGGGATCCATTCGTAACTAACGTAGTATGGCTAATTATGTGCGCTCCTTTATTATCATCTAAATGTTGAAAGTTGCCATACAAGCACCGAAAGTTGCCAAGCAAGTTGGCATAAATTATTAAAAAAAATTAATTTATTAAACAATTGGGGCACCGAATGGTGTAGTCAAAAAGTAGCTAAAATTGTTGAATTTTATGGCATGGTAAAATTGCTAAATTAGTCCCTGCACTTTAGGATATTTACAAGATTAGTCCTTAAGCTTCAACTATAAATACCTTAACTCATTTAGCTTCAAAATTATCCCAAATCATTCTAGCTTTCTCCCAATACTAGAGAATTTAGAGAGTTTTCTTGAGAGTTGTTTTCTCCTTTTTATCAAGAGAGAATTGTTATTGTTTTCTCATTGTTAGATCGAGAGAAGTTGTAATTTGTATTTTCTTATAGTAAAATTCTTCTATCTTTTCCCGTGATTTTTACCCTATATTATTTAGGGGGTTTCCATATAAAATTTGTGTCTTTTTTACCTTCATCTTTATTTTCTCAAATTATCAGTTATGATTTTGCTCTATCCGATAGTCATATTCTACAATAATTGGTATCAAGAGCCAGATTTGAGTGTGTAATATATACTTATTGTCTTTGTGGTTGCCACTAAAAGGTGGATCCTCTAACATTAGAAAGTAAGAAGGTATTACCCATTCTTTGAAGGTTCCAGAGAACTATTCACGATAGTAAAATAGTGGGAGCTATTTTTAATAAAAACTATGACAACGAAATTTGATATTGAAAAGTTCAATGGGAGAAATTTCTCATTGTGGAAATTGAAGATGAAGGCCATCCTGAGGAAAGATGGTTGTCTAGCGACTATCAGTGAAAGGCTGGTAGATTTCACAAATGACAACAAATGGATCGAAATGGACGGGAATGCTATGGTAAACTTTCATCTAGCATTAGCAGATGAAGTATTGTCAAGCATCGAGGAGAAGAAGACAGCTAAGGAGATATGAGATCATCTCACCAAACTGTACGAGGCCACATTGTTGCACAATAAAATTTTCCTTAAAAGAAATTGTACACTCTCCGTATGCCAGAATATACTTAAGTGACGGATCACTTAAACACACTGAACACTTTATTTTCTCAGCTTACATCCTTAAGCTGTACAATAGGAGAACAAGAACGTGTTGAACTTCTACTTCAAAGTCTACCGGATTCGTATGATCAACTCATCATCAACTTAACAAATAGTAATGTCACCAGTCTAGTCTTCGATGACGTTGCAATTGTTGTTCTACAAGAAGAAAATCAGAGCAAGAACAAGGAAGATAGACAAGTAAATCTGCAACAAGCAGAAGCGTTGACAACGATGAGAGGGAGATCAACAGAACGTAGCCAAAGCAGCAGTCACAAACATGGTAGATCAAAGTCGAGAAGCAAAAAGAATTTAAAGTGCTACAACTGTGGAAAGAAAGGTCACTTGAAGAAGGATCATATTGAATAATTGAAGGCACAACTAGCTAGGGAATTTGAAATGAAGGACTTGGGATCAGCAAACAAGATTCTAGGGATGCAAATTCACCGAGATAGAAGTAATAAGAAGATTTGGCTTTCACAAAAGAATTACTTGAAGAAGATCTTGTCAAGATTCAACATGCAAGATTGTAAGTCAATTTCTACCCCTCTTCCTATTAACTTCAAATTATCCTCCAGTATGAGTCCTAGAAGTGAACAAGAGATGATGGAGATGTCTCGAGTACCGTATGCATCGAAAGTGGGAAGTTTATTGTTCACTATGATATGCACAAGACCAGAAATTGCACAAACAGTGGGAGTGTTAAGTCGGTACATGGAGAATCCAGGAAAATAGCATTGGAATACAGTAAAGAGGATCCTGAGATACATCAAAGGGACCTCAAATGTTGCATTATGTTACGGAGGATCAAACTTACTTATCAATGGGTATGTCGACTCTGACTATGCAAGGGATTTGGATAAAAGCAAATCTACTACAAGATATGTGTTCAAAGTTGCTGGTGAAGCTGTAAGCTGGGTTTCAAAATTGCAGTCAGTTGTGGCTACATCCACAACAGAGGCAATATATGTAGCAGCTACACAAGCCAGTAAAGAAGCAATATGGTTGGAGATGCTATTGGAGGAGATTAGGCACAATCAAGAGTATGTCTCACTGTTTTGTGACAGTCAAAGCGTCTTGCATCTGGCAAGGAATCCAACATTTCATTCAAGGAAAAAGCACATACGAGTTCAGTACCATTTCATTCGTGAAAAGGTGGAAGAAGGGACAGTAGATATGAAGAAAATCCATACAAAAGATAACATAGAAGATTTCATGACGAAGACAATCATTGCTGATAAATTTACTTGGTGTCGATCCTCTTGTGGCCTGTCAGAGACGTAAGCAACATGAATGATACAAGGTAGAAAGAATGGTGTGAAGATATGATTGTTCCAATCAAATCTTCAAGTGGGAGATTGTTAAAAGTTGTCATGCAAGCACTGAAAGTTGCCAAGAAAGTTGGCATAAATTGTTGGAAAAAAAATAATTTGTCAACAATTGGGGCACCGAATGGTGTAGTCAAAAAGTAGTTGAAATTGTTGAATTTTATGGTATGGTAAAATTACTAAATTAGTCCATATACTTTAGGGTATTTACAAGATTAGTCCTTAAGCTTCAACTATAAATACCCGAACCCATTTAGCTTCAAAATCATCCCAAATCATTCTAGCTTTCTCCCAATACTAGAGAATTTAGAGAGTTTTCTTGAGAGTTGTTTTCTCCTTTTTATCAAGTGAGAAATGTTATTGTTTTCTTATTGTTAGATCGAGAGAAGTTATAATTTCTATTTTCTCATAGTAAAATTCTTTTATCTTTGCCCGTGGTTTTTACCCTATATTATTTTAGGGTTTTCCACGTAAAATTTGTGTCTTCTTTACTTTCATATTTATTTTCTCAAATTATTAGTTACGATTTTTCTCTATCCGATAGCCGTATTTCGCAACACCAAAGGCACTACGTTGGCATTCACATTCAAGTTCCTATCCATACTCGTATTTTTGTTATTCGGATTAGATGCCATAAAGGTTGCATTCTATTCGCTTCGGGAGCTTTACCCTTCCTCGAACCATTATCACGAGTAGTGTTTAGCACACCCTTCACGCCATTTTGTTGAATCTTACTCGCAGTAGTCATCTCATTTGCCTTCGTTCCATTTTCTGTCAGGCCATCCAATGAAGCATATCGAGATCAAGAACAAACATTTGGAACCATAGTCAACTTCGTTGCATCACTATTAACGACCTTTTTGCGACGCCTAGTATCAACAATCATCCACGACCCGAACAGGTTCGCTTCTGTATCTTCCACCTTGTTCGGGTCACTAGATTCCAAAAGAGTGTTTTTATCACCTTCCGAATTGCCTATCTTGGCCATCGACCTTCCACAGTGATCTTTCGCATGGCCGTAAACACCAAACTTAAAACACACTTGTTGTAAACCATCATATTCCAGTCTTTGTAAGTTCCCATTAATAGATGAAGACAGTACCGGCTTATTCAAATCTAAAAGGATAGCAAGCCTCTCGAATTTTCCACACTCCCCACCGTTAATGTTATAGTCGATTTTTACAACTCGTCCAATAAATGAAGCAATACGTCGAAATAAAGCTTGGAGCCGTAACCAGACAATAACATGTGAAGGATACTTTTCGGATGTCTTAAACGAGCGACTCCACGGTTGTACTGTCATATGACTATCAAATATCACCCAAGGTCCGTTAGTGAGAACTTTATTGAAGTCTTTTTCATCAGTAAAACGGACTAGGAAATAATTATTATCGAGGTCCACCAGCTGAAGCTGCCCAACTGGTTTCCAAATCGCATGGATACGAGATTCCATAGTTTAAAAAAATATGGACCGACCAAGAAGACGTATAATGACTACATTAGGCATGTTTTTATCAACCTGGTCATGGACTCGATTTGAGAATTGTGTTGAAGGTATAGCCCCTGATATGTCCATGACTATATCCTCATCCATGATGATCACTTCATCTTCAACGAAAGTCGTGCCCTTACCTTCTCCATGATTCAGTTTCTTCCCATCAGAGACGATAGAAGCATAAGAAACTTTATTGTTTCCTTCGTGTTTCTGCACATCATTGCTGTCAAAGTTGTTAGGCTCATTCAGGACCTCATTCGTTTGCTCGGTATTCATCGTATCACCAGCAATATCCGTCGCTATTACATCAATATTCTTATCCACAGCAATGATCTCACCCCGACCTTTCTTCGAGCAACGTTGGTCATCCAAACGCACCAGAGACGCAGTTCGTTCCTTGATAGGCAAGTTGGAGATACTCGGAACGATTTCCGGTGGCCGTCCGCCCGGGTTTTCATAAATGTTTGGCCCTAACGGCATGCTAGGGTATATAATTTTTTCAACATGGAAGTTTGTTTCTAGCAACAAAAACAAGTGTGTAAAGGGGCAGCGACAAATAAAAAATTAAAAATGAAAGTCTAGAATTTTAATACACTTTTTCTGAAAATTTGAGTATATAATTTTTCTTATTTTTCTCTTCTTTTAATATATTAAATTAATTTTTATAATTTTTTTAAAACAATGAGAGAATGTATTTGCTCCCTTATGGGGCTTAATTTATCCACCCAGCACATGGATTTAATTATATATGAATGGATTTAAATATATATAAATATTTAAAATATATAATAATTTAAAATTATCAAGAGAATTAATTACTCTCAATATCTCCTCAATTTATCCCTAACTACTAATATAGTTTTATTTATTTAATATATATATATATATATATATATATATATATTCTATGGATTTATATTTCTGTATTGAGACTATACAGCATCATAAAATGTTAATAAATTAATTATATGCTATCATATCATCTAATTTACTAACAATATACAAAATTATATACTATAGTTTTTTTTTAAAACAAACTGCATACAGTGTCTTTGTTAAATATAAATACATAATATATATGTAATATATGATATAATTATATGTTAATTATTTGCAGGCTTGAGACAGTAAAACGCTTGCGCTTTCACTGATCTTTCTCTTCTTCTCCATCTCGCCTTCAACTTCCAACTTCACACCGAAAAGCTTGGGGATATGGTGGTCGTCGTCTTTTTCTTTCTCGAACTGCGCATAATTAGCCACCAAATCGAGAAGTTCCTTGCATTTTCTCTTCATGCTCGTTAGCTCCCATTTCAACAACCCGTTTTCCTTCTTAAGACGCTTGTTTTCGTCTACCAGGCTGTTCATTCCCGACGAAGAACAGGTTGACGAAGATCTCTGATCTTCGACGCACTCCGAGGCCGGCGGTGGCGCGGGAATTGAGGCGCCGCTTTGTTGCTTATTGGCCCATGCTTTTCTTCTTCGGATTTTGCAGAGTAGCTCACTTTCGCCCTTCCGGAACATTTCGTTGCAGAATTCCCATCGGTTGGTTGCTACTTTCCGAAATCCCTACGTGTAACTATAATAATTAGAATTTATTTTTAAGCACCCAAAGATGGTTAGGCATGTACTGCCGAAAAGATGTTATCGTTTCTGGGATTTTAATGATTCTTGCACGAATCAAAATATTAAATTCTTAATCAAATATTTCAATTATAGTTAGTATTTATGTCATCAATCACGTTGTATTTATTTTATTGCGGACATAACAAATGATATTATGCAAGTATTGTGGTTATAAATTTTTAATATCATATGACATAATGATTATAGATATCACAATTTTAAACGATGTTGTTATAACTATATAACCGTCTTTGTTGTGTTTGTAAACTTTTATTTAAGTAATTATTTCTATTAACAAGTGTTGAAAAAAAAAATTAAGTATGACTCCGTAATAATAAGTTTTGAAAAAATGGACCCCAATAACAAATATTAAAAAAATTAAGAATAGGTTCACTATAACAAATATTAAAAAAATCAACCTCTAATAAAAAGTACTGAAAAATTAAACTCACAAACTTTTAAGAATATGTTCACTATAACCCTTAATCTTTTAACTTATATCTAAATAAGTTCCTAACATTCATTATATACCTAATAAACCTTTTAACACAAATCAACCTTTCATTTCAAGTGACTAAAATAAAATTAAAAGACAATGACTTATTTAAGTGGAAAGTAAATATTAAAAGCTTACCTAACTAAACGAGTATACTCCAGGAGATTTTTTAATATCTTCGTCTATATAAATGAGTGAATTTTATATGCTAGAGGTGAATAGTTAAAATTAAAAAGCATTGACCTTTGACTAGTAAAAGTATGTCATCCCTAACACGTTTTCTAGGATCCTAAATACCGCACCTAGCCTTTGAAAAATTTTATCCTTGCATCCTATCAGGTGATTTCAATAATTATAAAAAAAGTTATATTTAAATTTGAGTGGTTGTATTTATAAGGTATATATATTATCAATTAATCAAGAAAATTATTTATAAATATTATTTTATAATTAAAAAAGAACTCATAATTTTATGTTATGGTGATAAATTTGTAAAATTTATAGTGAACATATTCACCTCTTGTTCATAAAATTTATAAATTCATAAAATATATATCTAAAACATATAAAAAAAATAAAAAGACGATCACCCCGCTTAAGCCCATCCTTCTTTATAATAATTCCGTACTATTTACCCTTCCCATATCAAACAGTATAATACTTTAGTGCCCCAAGTACAGATGACGTTGTTTTAGCATTAAAAACAATATAACTATGACAAAAATGTATTTGGAAATGTTTAGTCAAAGTCATATTAGACCATAACCTTACGCATATAAAATTTCTTGTTCTAAGGTCAACTTGAAAAAACATAAAATATGATACATGAGAAAAATATTAAAATATTATTCAGAAAAAGAAAAACTATTTGGGTAACCAAGTCGTCTCAACCTAAATAATCGAGAACCGATCTTAAAGGATTTATGATAAAAAAAATGGGTAAATTATATATTTAGTCAATAATTTATTCTCGAGATTATATTTTAATCACTTAACTATCTTTTAAGTCATACCTAACATTATATTTTAGTTCTATTTTGTTCATCCGTAGTTAGAAAATAAACATAATTGCTGATGTCATATTTCTTTTATTTTTTCCATTGATAATATGACATTATTATATGGTGACATATCAATATCACCGTTAAATTTTTAAAGATATATGATCAAATAGTAATGTTAAATATGATTTTAGAAAATAATAATTTAATGACCAAAACGGAACTACGGAATTGTGAGTGACTAAATACATATTTTACCTTAAAAATTAGTTTGCAAATAAATGAAAAAACTTACGTAAGTATTAAGCTGGCGGACAAAGCTGGAGAAGTTGCTGTGCTTGAAAATTGTTGGAAGGAGATCACGAGCAAACTCTGGCGGCTGCCACACGACGAACCCCGAGCCATCGGCGTTCCAAGAAATAAAGTGGTTGGTGGCGGGATCCTCCACCAGCATGTAAGTCTTCAACAAAAACGGCGGTGGTGTTGATTTCCTAACATATTCTAACAAACCCTTATTACCATCACTTGCCATATTCATACACTCCATATTATTAACAAAGAGAGTGATATCTATATGTATAGTTTAAAAGAAGAAGAAGAAGAAGAAGTGAAAGAGGATAAGAAGAGAAGAAGGGCAGTTAGGAACTCCCAGCCCCAACAATAGAAACCCAAGACGACTCCACAAATCATGAGAAATGCAAGGCTAAGCCTTCTATTCTCTTCTTTCCTTCACTTTCCCCTCTAAACAATCAGTTGAAACGTATGTTCTTCACCCCCTTGCCGCCTCTTATACGCTACACCCCACCAAAATTAAATATATTTTAGTATTGATCGACTGTTTTATTATGTAGTGTAAACTCTCGTCCACCTATTCAAGTGCTTCTGTTTTGGTCATTAATTTTTTTCTCAAAATCATACCTAATTTTATTTTTTAATTTCATCTTATTAAACTTAATATTAAAAAATTAACAGAATTATTGATGCAAAAAACGAAGCATAGCTTCGTCTAGGGCCACTGCATCTATATTTTTTATTAATAATAAAATTATATGGGTAAATCCTAAATTAGAACTCTAAAATTTAGTTTATTATGATTTTGGCCCCTCATTTTCTATGATTAATTATATTATATCCCTCAATTTTATGGTTAATTATACTTTGCCCCATTGAGTTGGAATGATGGCTTCGTCCCTGGCTAATATGGCATTTTTAATTTTTCTTTCAAAGATAATGTGATATTATCTTATGATGACACATCAATAACCGTTAAGTTTTTATTAAAAGATGATCAAAATGAAACCAGATTGTAATGTGGGAATGATTTTGAAAGAAAATAATTGGGTGATAAAAATGGAACTACATGAATACTTAAGTGACTAAATACAAAATTACTCTATTATATATGTGGGTCCATGTGTTACTGTGGATCCTTACTTCGGAAGACGAGGTCGGTAGAATATATTGTGTTTGTTTTTTTTAGACAACAGTTTTTTAGTGGTTTTTATGCTTAACTCTTGAACTGTCCGTAAGTCAAGAAATTAGTGTGAAATCGATTTGGTTTTAACCGACTTTTAAAATTTTCAATTATCTATTTTTTATATATTAAATAATACGAGATGATTATACAAATATTATCTATTTAGAATTTTTTAGTCATTAAAAATAATTAATACATAAAATTAACTAATAAATTTTATATAATATTGTAAAGTTATTTCATCTTTTCATATATAAAAATAAACTCAACAAATAATGTTTATTGTATTAAAAATAAAATTATTCCTTTTAATGAATTTTTATACATTTTTAAAAATAATTGTATTAATAAAATTTAGCAGTTAGGGTTAAAGTTTTTAAATTAAAAATGATTTTAGTTATTTATAGAAATTTATTTTTTATTATTAATCATGCCAAATATAATAAAAGGATAAATTAAAACTTTAATAATTGAACTATCTTGTCACTCCTATTTTACTCATTGAACTTTAGAAGTTTTCAATTTAATTACTTAACTTTGAACATTGATTTTTTACCGCTCTACCATTTCCCCCTAACTATGTGATGACATGACATGTCATACCCTGATATCGGGGTTAAATTTTTATTATTTAAATATAGGGACTAAATTATTATTGTATTTAAGTTTTGAATCAAATTATAATATGAGAAAAGTTTGAGGACTTGAAGTACAATTTTACTTTTTTTATGGAGCGAATAGAAACCCCCAACTTGTTGGAACCACTCATTTTCACCTATTCCCAAAATAGAAAACACATCCTATTTTTCTTTTTTTGTTAAGTTTTTTTCCTCTTTAAGCAGCTTGCTTCCCTGATTTGTCATTGACTAGTCATTAACCAGTCATCGGTGACTTACACCGCCGACACCATTACTTTCTCTATCCTTCCTCATGTCGACTAGTACCCTTGAGTTCTTCTCCGTTGCTTGCATACGGAGAGGTGAAGCAACGCAATGTTTGGTTGTTCAAAAAGTTCAATTTCTTCGTACTCCGTCGTAAAAAAACACTGATAAGTGACTCAAAATCCTTTGAAGATGAATTCTAGAAATTTTCATAACCATCTGACCTCCGTAGACCATTGCACGAGCCGTCCCCTACTCGTGGGCATTGTCAATTGCTAAGGATCTTTTAAAACCAGTCTAAACCAATCTACATAGCCTGAATCGGTCCAGACCACCAGAATCTGTATAGACCGTTCAAGCCATTAACCAAGCATTTCTAAGTCATTATCCATGATGAGTTGAGCCATTGACCAAGATAAGTTGAGTCGTTAACTGAGCTGAGCCAAGCCGAATTGATCGAGCTGAGTTGTTGACTAATTGTTGATCGTCTTTGACCATCGTTGATCGTCCTTGACCATCATTGATCGATTGTTAAATTTTTTTAGAACACTTATCCTAGTATTTTTTTAATTTCATGGGTCCATTTTTTAGGCTTGTTTCACTAAATTTGAATCCGGTAAATTGTTTTTCAACGTTTTAACTCTAATTCAATTCGATTTTCGTGATTAAGTTATACTTTTTATGCAATTCATTTTGCCATGTACATGAGATATTATGAGACGTCGAATTAAAGTTCGAGAGTGAACAAATGGATTTTAAATAACCGAGTTGAGGTAATACTTTACTTGTAATACCCCAAATTTTGGTTAGTGACCAAAATGTAACTTTTGAAAGTTTGATGGTCAAAGTATAAAACTTGGAAGAAATTTTAGGGAATTAAGTGATAAAGTTCCTAAAAAGAATTTTATTCCATAAATAGATGGTTTACTCTTGAGAGTGGGGTTTTATGGAAACTATATTTTGGATTTGGGATTTTAGTAAAGAAAAATTAAAAATGGTTAAAACCGGTAGGGAATTTTACAAAAATTTGAAGGATGTTATAAAATGGTTGGAAATATTATTTTAATATTTTGGATCAAAGAAATTTGGTCTGAAAATATGGAAATTTTCAGATTTAATTGAAACAATGGAATTTAGTGACTAAAATGCAAGTTTTGAAATTTCATGGGAAATTTCAGAAATTAAAGTCAAAATAATTCATCTTTGACTTTGAATTATGATAAGGATGAGTTATCATGGTTTTATGGTAAATAAGAAGATTCATTAATGGTGATTTGGTCATATCCCAATTAAATGAATATAATATTCATTTATAGTGGAATATAGAGTAAAATAAGATGAATGCACCCAAATTTGCTATCTTATTCTCCAAATCAGCCGTGGGTTCTCTCTCAAGGTAACAGAAAATTTTCAACTCAATTTTCAAGCAATTTACTTAGGATCTTGAGTAAGTTGTAAATAGAAAATTGTTATACGTGAAAAACTCTATCTTTTGGTACCAATATTGCATGGTAATCTTGTTGGTGTTCAAAGATCCCAAATTTAAGGGTTTGTGTTTATATAAGGGATCATGAAATTGATGATGGATCTTGATGTTTGTGAAGTAGTCGATTCATATTTAAGCATGTATGATGATTAGAACATGTCTAATCTTTTTAGAACTTGTTCTTTAGGTTTCGGCCATGGATGGTTTGATTGAGAAAGATTATGGAAAAATTATATAAGAATTGGAAATGATGAAGGAAGTATTTTACAAGCCTTATAAAATTTAAGGACCATTTCGTAAGTTTTGAAAAGTTGGGGATCAATTCAAAAATTTTGGAAAAATAGATGGGTTGTTGTGTAAGTGTTATATAATTGATGTACTATGCTGGAAATTGTTGATTGGGAATTAAATGAGTGTTATATGTGAAAAATAACTATTTTGGGAAGTTTGAAAAGTTTGGTGATTTAATTACAATATTTGAATGGTAATAATTTCAATGATGGAATTATTGGTATTAAGAATCTAGGTGGTAAAATGGTGAAGGACCATTTTGAGTAAATTGGAAAAGTTGGTTCCAATACTAAAAAAATTAATAAGTGTTAAATTATTTTGTGGTGAATAGTTTGAAGTATGATTATGGAATTTATTTTATAAATATATTTATGTTAGTACAATACTAAAATATATAGGTATGAATCTATATTTTGTACAGATTGTGATTTACTCGGTGTTTAAAACAATTTGAATATAAAAGAAAAGGGTTATTGTGGACAATAGTGAGGCTCATATTTTGGAAAATTATAAAGTGTCAAGGTGAGTGCAATACATGCATGAAATTATACATGGATGTTTTATACATCATCAGGAAGACTCGCGATAAGTCGACCTTGTTTATATCGGCATGATTTTATATCATTTTTTTATAAATTGAAAGTGATATGTCAGAGTATGAAATTAAAATGCATTGATCACTGATTTTTGCATATGATTTTTACCATGAATGTTATTTCGGGTATGAACTGCCCCATTGTTAAATATTGATAATATACTTTGCCATGGATGGATCAAATAAAATAGACTGTACGCCCAAGTAAGTCATTGAGGGACATGGTATAGTTGGCATGCCATAGAGTCCAGCAACAGGCTGCATATTCGGGAATACACTAAAGGATACCTAGTGTATATGGTGGGCACAACCTTATGTGTCATATTCGGACTGTACTTAAGGATACCTAGTACAGATGGTGGACACGACCTTATGTGTCATACTCGGAATTGCATTACGGTGCATATATTTGCCTCGTGTACCAGGGTCCTCAGGGTTTTATATTGGGCTATTGACTATGGTTTATGGTTTTATAGATTATTGGTTAATAAATAGTAAGCATGAAAATTAAGCTTACGAGTTTATAGAATGAATGGCAAGTATATTGGAAAGAATATTTTTATATTCAGTTATGATACTTTGATCATGGTAAAATATTGGATATTCTATTAGCATGGTTTTATGGCAATTGATTTGAAATTGAAATTCAAGCATGAGTTGTATTGCAATGTTATTGTTTTAATTGCCTCACTAAGTATATACTTAGCGTGTGATGATTTTCACTCGTAGGTAAAAAGCCCGTAGAGGAATAGAGAGTTCAAGGCATCATCAAGCATCAAGAAGTATATTTCTTTATCAGTAAGACATCTTAAGATGTAATGTAGACTTAATT